CCATCCTAATCAACTCCGGTACCCACTCACTTTCGCGCGGCCGAATCTCTCGATGGCGCTCCTCCAGAAGGCTGTGGCGGAGTATCATTATAGTATTTAATGTGCTCTTTAATATGGTAGTAAAAATGTCCGATAAAAATTTAATAAAGTGTAACTTATAGCGCCTTGAAAGTCATGGAGGCAAAATGACTTTTTTTTGGCCCCCCTGTATATAGTAGGATTTATTGCGGAAATGTCTGGAACGGAAGATGTCATGCCAATATCCCCCGTATCGTGTGATATCATAATTCGTTCGAGAATGGCCTGGATATTTGTAGACCCAGCATGCTAACCCTGGCCCTTGACATATGTCGCCAGAGAACACTTTGATCCCCATTTATGCTCGTGTTGCTGGAATCAGATGGAGGAGGGGTTGAAGTATAGACCGAGAGAGGTTTTTGAATCATGTCAAAAAGACCGCAGTCGATGAGGCCTTCAGAGATTATGCCGAAAAGATCAAAGGAGAAAGGCTTCCTCTAAATTGGAAGATACAGGAAGATTGCCATTCTGTCGGCGTAGCGGCGATCCCTATCATTCACGTGGCGCCCATTACACGTGTTCTGCACTTCACAGAAAAACACCGCTTGTGAAACCATTCGAGTAAATAATATTGGGATATTATTCCAGGAATTACTTCATTGTTCGACCACATGAAGGGCTTCCGTTACGTGATGTGGCGATGTGGACCCAGCGCCTGCTCAAACTTCACGCAAATCTAGTCATAATGACACTAAGGATCCAACATGATGAAGCCTTGAAATTATTTCAAAAATATAAATTGAGCCAGAGATAGAAGGAGGTATTTGAGGTCATGCCGAGAAAGGGACTAGCATAAAAGGAGAGGAAGTTCGGCAGAAGTGAGCACGACGGCAATGTTGTTCGTTCTCGTATTGTTGTGTTTCCTCCTGGTGAACGCCAGTTCTGTTATTTCCGTATTGAAATTTGTGGGTCTCCAGCAAAATCAGGGCAATCGATAAGGATTGCTCCAATTTCACATGGGCACGAACTAGCACTTTTAAGATACCTGAAGCACTCGCAAAACGTACCACCTATGAACCGTTGAGTAAAGAGTATATCGATTTCAATGGAAGGTACAATGCCAATTTGGTTAGTAACTTTTCTCTGCTGCACACGCCTATTCTCCTCGACACTTATCTGCTGTGAGCTCTACCCTGCTGATTAGTGGCTATTTTTCGCCTGCAGGAGTGGAACAACAAACTTTCGTATGCAGCTTGCGTCAAAGTAACAAGCGCGATTACGACAAAACCCACACTGCCTGTGCTCACGATTACACGCAACCGCTCGTTCTGCATACTTTGACACAAGACCTTGTTCTTCAAGAATGCTGGATGCCTCAACAACAACGCATTTCTTCATATAGACGAACAAAGGATACCGCATCGTATCTTGTTTACCACACCATGATTGGTAGAGCGTGCGGAGGGCAGTGTACCGTCTTCACATTC